CTACGGATAACTTTTCGGGATATTTACAATTTTGAAGTTTTAGTTAATATCTTGAATTATATATATATATATATATATATAGATTGGCGCTTACACATATGTTAGTGTTTGGCCGAGCTTCTCCTCCGCTTTGTGGCGTGCGCCTTGATGTTTTCACACAAAGCGGAGGGACCTACAGTTTTACGCCGACTCCGAACGGCGATTGTATTTTTATGAGAAGCTCTTTTTCATGGCAGAAATACATTCGGAGGTTTGCCATTGCCTGCCGAGGGACGACGCTGTTAAGAAAAAACCTTTTTTCTATATTCTTTTGCGATGTTGCTTTGACCAGGGCTTGAACCCAGGCCCAAGGCTACCAAATCATTTATGGAAACTTTGGAAATGCGAAAGATCGATCTGTTTCCCATATTTGAACGCATTTCCAGTAAATCTGCATCTCTAAATTTTTAATAGGACGGCAGAATTTATCCCAAGGATATCGAAACAATTATTTGTGGGAAAAAGTACAGTGGCTTTTTATATATGTATTACAAGTCGAATAATTTGTTCATGTCCTGAAAATTTGCAATTGTCGAACACTTGTAAATGGTCTGACAGGGCGTATGATGAACATTAAAATATTAAATTCAGCTTTTATAACAAACAAGCAAATACCCGGCGTGTTTCATTATGCCTTAGAAGTGTTTTTCGGTTCTTACTCCCTCTCAAAACTGTTATGGCGTAATTCATAAAATATAAAATAGATTGAGTGTTTTAAGTGATGAAGTGTTTTTAAAAAAGATTCGATTTTTGAATCATTATTATTTTTTTATGAAGGTATTTAGAAAATCGAGGTAAAATATATCCTATATTTTAGGTTGGTATCATTTAGTGCGTAAAATTTCATGATGATCTCACTTTGGCATTTACATTATTAGTAGAGTAAAAAATGCCTTTATAAATTAAAAAAAAAATAAATAAAGTAGTTTAGTGTTTGGCATGTCCTATCGGGTTGATTAAGAAACAAATGTGGACGTATTAATTAAAAAGTTTTAAAAATATCCTTTTAAATTAATATCCCTCATATCCTTACACCTATTCATAAGTTTCTTCAAAATGCATTTAAAATTAAAAATCTTGAAGCATAGTACTTTTAAAGGAAATTTTTTTGGAGCAGTGTAATACATATCCCACACGATCTTCAAAAGTGACACAATACAAATTTTGGCATTTTTTAAGTTAT